TGTCATGTAGAACATGTAAGCTAACAGAATCTAGACTTCATGTTACTTTATTTTACCGTACCTTCCCATTACCATAACCTCAAAACACTTTACCTATTACAGTATGGAAGAGCAATGCTTCCTCGATTTGGTGACATATTGGCAATCTGATGGATATGTTCAAGTTGGATCATGCATTCAAAGATAAATCGCTCCGTAACATCCGTGGAAAGTGAGCAGTCCCGGAAAATAATTGACCAGCGATTAACATCCTGATGTTGATGTGTCATGCTAGGTCTCACATTAAATCTGTTAGAATGATTAGAGTTGTAATTCCCGTTCTTCATCTGACAACCTTATCCTAGCTGAGCTTATGAAAATCAGTTGACTCCAGCGCACCATTTCCCTACAAACCTGCATAGTTGCCTACTCACACGGTCTGTCATCTTCTTTGTGTGTCATCCTTATTCCATTGCTAATGTAAATATAGCTTGGGTACAATTGCTATCTGGAATGATGAAGTACGGACTTGATGCAACGCAATAGCATTATTGTACCTGTCTAAGAGGCACATACTAGAAGTTGTCTTAGACGGGTTCAATCTTCTGAGCAGACTAAGAAAAAGGTAATGCCAACGGAAATGGTACGTAAGTGTCTTAGCAAATTACATCGGAAAAGAATCGGCGCATAGGGAAAATTTGTTCAATTTACGAGCATGGAATAGCTGCACTCCAGGCGTACTAAAGTAGATCGTAACCAAGTAGTTTATAGCCACAACAGGATACACAACGGTAGGTACAAACGGATGAGTACTTGGATGACAACTATGCTACGTCTTGGGCATTTACAAAATAGTGCGAACACTATTTGGAAAACCGCAAGTTTGACAGTGGCCAGCGGGACTTAGTTAATGTAGTACTGTGGTAATTGTCGCGCCAAATAGGCCGTAAGAGGCGAACACCAACAATTCGTACTGGGTACTTATTCGCATGCATGTGCAAGTAAGTTAGCCTGACCTCCAAAGGAAACCTATGCACGTTTGTAGTACCATTGTTCATGAGGACTAATGTGTCTCTATCCAGTTTGTGACCGTTCATAATGAAGTCCGTGGAAATAAATGTGCATATGTTGTATTCGAACTGCCATTGGACACGGATGACGCGAATCTATTTATATATGTATACCAAATGAATTCGACGAGGATACTCATGCCGCTTTTGTACGGCTAACTTAGGGCAGTAAAACAACATTCGAGCAAACCGAAAATAACATTACCAGAACATGAAGAAGGTGAGTTTATGACAAACTAATGTTGATTTTAGGCGTTGCGAATTCAAGGCAAATTTGATGGATGCGAACTCCGTAGACTGATCATAGGCGCGGTTGCTCAGGTGCCGGAGAAGGCACTATTGCACGCGGAATAGAAGCACCATGAGTACGTTCCCATTCAAATTACTAATCCAGGCCAATAAGGCGACGTATGTGGTATGTTTGCCTGCGTGATGAGTAATCTTACATTTTAGAAGTAAATATTGCTTGAGCTCCTCTGTCTGGATGCGCTTGATGTGAATGTTGACAAGGTGCCTACCTATTACCCACTACCTTTTCCATACTGGCTCCAGGAGACAGTTGGTCGTTGCTGGTGGGGACGGGATGCACCGTCCTCGTGACGGTGCTAGGCTGAAGGAGTGGTTCCATGCTGTGTGGAACGGGCTACGGCCAGCCACCGCCTCGTGTACGTCTGGTGTGTATGATTTCCCAATTAGGCGGGAATGTTTCCGTTCTGCTTGTTGAAGGTGTGTGGGCCGGCTCCGTTGATGAAACGTGGCTCCCGTTCACATGCCTCCCGGTCTTATTCCTTTGGGTTTACACCGGATATGGGGTGTGTGGGTGGAACTATGGGTGGTGCAGCGCAAGCCACCCATGGTCCTCTTTGTAGGCTCAGGCGTCCTGTGGCTGTCCCCATGGACGTCACAGTGACAGGCAAATCCGGATACGGACGCCGCGAAATCATACTCTGCGCATATTCATCCTTTCAAGGCCGCTTTTGGAATACTGCTTAACGGTGTACAGTGGTACAAATAAACAAGATCACATAGTATTAGAAAATGTACAAGGAACACTCACAAAGCGCTTAGTAGATATTTTATCGAAATTGAAAAATTTCGAATGATGTGTAAAACTCGAGCTTGATTCCCTCTGATTGAGGGTTCTTTGTCTATCCCCTCCCTTTCAGATTCCCTCTCCAATTCCGATCTCACACGAAATGCATAATGTAATATTTAACATTAGATTACCTGCTTTTGAATTTGTTGTGGTGTAATTTTTGTATCTTACCTTTTTGCACCGCGACACATTATTGATGATGAATGTTATGCACAAGAAAAAAGTAGCTCCAACTTTAAGATGTCAATATTCCAATCGATATTATGCAACAAAGGAAATAAGGAAAATTCTGTGGTTGAATGTAGGTAGAAGAGGATCAGATCCACCAATTTCCTCCTTAACTGCTATAATACCAGAATCTGGAAGAAATTACCATCCGAAATACATGCACTTGCAGTTTAGAGTACTAATTTCGCAAAAAGATTGGGATGTCATATAGCCAAGCATACGAACAAGGTACAGAGAGTGAATATTACAGCGGGAAGTTCTCTACACTAACCGTATTTCTTCCTCCAATACGCATATGCTAATCCCACCATTATCAAAAGCAAGTGTGCAATGAGGGAAAGAATCAACATGATTACGACTCTCTACTCTACGTCGATGCGCTTATAGGCCTTAGTACAGTCTACTCTTACATTTCCATGTTACAGTGCTTCCTGAGAGGGCCACAATCAACGTTCGACCCTATCCAATAGCTTTGAGCATAGCAGCATTCACGAAGTGTTTAAACAAAATTTACGCACACAGTATCGTGTGTTAAATCAATTTTGCTATTATCCAAAATCATCGCATACGCTTCCAATGCCGATATAGACATTCTGCGCAACATCCAAAAAGACGCTGAAACAACAACAACAACTACAAAAACAACAACCGAGTTTTATGCCGTATCAAAATCGATAACCCATTGGCATTACTGCTGTACAATTTTCGTTTATTCCTGATATTTGCACGAGAAAATGCTTGTATCTATCTGAACATGTCGTCACAAAGACGTGTCTCGCTGAAAACCAGACTATACAATTGGTTTATTTAAATGATAAAACGATGAGGACAAAGGTACTGGTCTGTGGTGTCAAAGGGCTTTACGCGCGAGGAAAGCGTTGTGAACAGAGGATAATTTGATAGTTCGTGTAGTAGATAGAGGAATGGAGATGCTGAAACTTGAGCAACCTACATCCAAGGCAATAGGGCATAAGACGGACTTACTGAAAGACTTTCGGCAACAAACTGAGCAATTTTACGGATAGACGAAAGCGATCAAGTGTTTCCACCCGGGCAGGTTTCGAACCTTTGTTGGGCGGAGCTGGTTTAGCCTCGTCGTCCATGAACCAAGTACGTTTGGCTCGATAGCGGTTCAACCCATCGGTCAAATCCACAACAGAGCGAGACTGTGAGGGAGATATAAACGGGTTAATTGAGAACCGAGAAAGTGCGGAGAATGGGTGATAGAAGACAGGGGAACAGAGAAAAAACGTCAACGGACCACTGAACAGTGAAGAGGGGAAACCTAACCCAATCGAGTATACAGAAGTAAGCATTTTTGGGCAGTGGTAAAGACGGTAAGGTGGCCTAAACACTTGAGGGACAAACTACACGGAGATAACAAGCGAGGGCAGTTCTACTATAGTAACAAAGCCTTATGAACATTATCATCATCAATATTATTATTATTGTTATTATTATACATGTTAACTAGAGGTGGGGCACACCTCAGCTACTGTGCCGCAGTACATAGAAAAAAGGAAAATAAATGCAACAGATGCACGCCAGCTGAGCTACCAGTAACAGATGAGCATCGTTCCGGAAAGCTAGCAGCCGGCTACAAGTCAGCAAAAAATTTATATATTAGTCTAGGAAGTGAGATCACTGTTGGAGGGAGAGGCTAAGAGGGATGGGGTGAAACAAAGAAACGCAGCACGAACGCCGTTGAGGTCGGCTCCTAGTCATGTCAGCAAGTGTATCCAGCCAAACGTGTTCACCGTCTTTTGGACCCCAACCAGGGAGCCGAGACGCTCCAACCGAGGCCAGCTCCGAAGTGAGGGCCTTCATTCCTCTCGACCAAGTCATCGCTTGACCGCCTCTCATCTTTCCATCCACACCACAAGGCGCGCAAACCACACACGTCGCGGGATCCGGTGAGCTGGCATGTGCAACATGTGGTCGAGCAATCGAAGTTTGGTGCGTGAAATAACGGTGTTGAGTGCAACCAGCCTCTTTATGTCCGCTGATCTAAGGGGCCAAGATTCACAACCGTACAGCAGGGTCGAACCTACCGCTGCATTGTACACTTTACCTATCAGGGCGAGAGTGATGTTGCGCCGGCGTTATAAGTGGCGAAGGTTAGCAAAAGCAGCTTGAAGTTTTGCTATACGTTTCGTGATTCCATCGCTCTCTGACACAACTTCCCAGGTAGTTGAATTTCTGAACGACTTCTAGCTGAACCTCAATAAGGGTCAGCGCAGGAGGCGGTCCATCCCAACCTTGGAAGAAAGCTTTGCACTTCGACGGTGCGAAGCAGAGCTCAAAGTGACTGACAGCCCGTGCTAATCTGTCCAGTGCCGCTTGGCACGTTTGTGAGCTGTCACAGATTAGGGCAATATCATCAGCATAGTCTAAGTCAAGAAGTCGTTCTCCTGGAAGTAGCTCCACACATTCTGAGTCGTGTCCTGTGAGCGCGATTTCCATGACTTCGTCAACAGCGAAGTTGAAGAGGAAAAGTGACAGCGGGCATCCTTATCTCACACCAATGGAGATAGTAAAGGGCGGCGATACCTCACTCTGCATGAGCTACGCGCGTAAAGCGCTTTGAAAATGTTTACGTATTTATCGGACACACCTTTCCTGAGTAGACAGTCCCAAAGGGCACATGTATCCATCGAACCGAATGTACCTTTGATATCGAGGAACAAGAGAACGGTGGGAAGCCAATATATGTGACGGTGCTCCAACAGCTGACGCAAAGTGAAGATGTGGTCGATAAAGTCCCAATCTCGAGGAAACCGAACTTGCACTTCACGAATTTGGCTTTGACGAGTGCCGGCCAATCAGTGAAGGATGATAGAGGCAAGCAATTTTGAGGTAATGAAGATCAGACTAGTTCCTCTATGGTTGCCGTATTCCGATCGTGAGCCTTGCTTGAAAATTGGGACTATGACGGATTGGTTCCAGTCGGTTGGGACAATTTCCTATTACCACAGTTTCACTAGTTATTAGTATAAATCATCCACAAGAGCAGGGCACCCGAATTTATTCAACTTTAGCAGTCCGATCTCAAGTTCAACTTCTGAACGAGAGAGCAGATGCAAAGGTACAGCCCACGGAGCAGGGCGATCAGTGACCGGCGAGAAATCCGACAATTCCGACCGATTAAATTGCCTTTCAAAGCATTTTGACAAGTTTTGGATAGACTGTCCACTCTCGTCACGTATAGTTTCACTAACACCAGGTCTCTTTCTGCCCGTTGCCCGTATCAGACGGAATAAGTTCCGATGGTTAACAAGGGCAGCAGACATTTCCATCTCTGATGCGCGATGAGACCAGCAAGATTCGCAGTTTCTCTCTAGACTTGCACGTAGTTTTGCCCGGAGGTTTTGGCGAGTCTCACTGTGTTCGCTTCTAGCCTAAACATACCGGCGAGCATCGACAACTTCAAGAGACTGCGAAAAGACACCACATGAGGATTTTCCTGCTGCTAGTAAGGACTGGTGAATATGAGACCAGTGACCTTTACTTGTATCCGATGAGTGCTCACCCAACTCGCATGACCGCGTACTTTGATAGGCGTTCAGAACAGTTGGCTTCGTCAGTTGACCAGGGTCGATGCGCTCACAGCGTCGTCGTGGGCGTCCGCCAAAACGCATTCGCAGGTCAGCACATATAAGTGCATGGTCGGCGTCCACCCTTATGCTCCAAATCGAGCGACAGTTCTGTATTCAGCCTCTCCAGCGGTAACTGATTGCAATTTGATCGATTTGTGTCTAAGGCTGGTTCTACGCCGGTGGGTGCCAAGGCACCCTCCGGCGGGTGCAGTGTCGAAAATTAGTGCTCGCAAGAAATAAGCGAGCATCCTCACACAAATGAAGTAACCGTTCACCGTTATCATTACAGGATCCTACACCGTGCTGACCATCCAGATGCATTTCATCAATGGACAACTTCCCAACTTATGCGTTCAGATCCTCCGCCAGCACAACAGTGCCCGTGATTCTTCTGTGGCGAAGGAGCTGAGTCATTTGGCGGTAGAAGTACTTCTTTACCGAATCATCGCTAGTTTGTGGGCGCGTAGGCAGCGATGACAATCAGACACCTATTAGCCACGAGTGACTTCGAAGCAGGTAGTCGGACCGTGCACATCCGGCTACTGAATGGAATCCAATCAACCAGAGTAACATCATCCCGGGGATTCGGGGCAATACCAACACCACCTTGGCCGGTGCTCGTAGCTGCATCGTCACCAAATAGGCGCAATGAGAAAGTTCTGCTGGTGTTACAAGAAGGGGATCGCAGAGAGCTCGAATCTTGTAGGCGGGTTTCCGATATGCAGCAGATATCGATCGAGAGGGTCTCTAAGGCGATCAAGATTACGTTGTATTCTTACATCATTAGCATATGGAGTGAGAGGGGTCTCGGTTCCGGAGATTTATCCGAGAAGGCGAATTCAAGAAACAATTCACGGTGTATGGGTCATCAAATGGGAATGGGTATGAAAGATCACGAAAGAAAGGACTAGGTAAATGAAGTCACAGAACACCAACAAATGTGCACAGGAAGATAACGGATTGCTGTCTTTGCGGAGGTTATACGATTTCGTCCTTAGCCCCGGCAACAATACGTTTCACCGACTGCTGACAAAAACGAGATCACAGAAAAGCAGAATCATTTTTTGATTGAATAAAATGCGGAGATTTGGATATAAGAGCTAAACTCTTGCAGTGTATGAATCCGGCAGTTGCATGACAATAGCTGGTAAGAATTATTGAGTTGACAACCAAGTTCCAGCCGCTTTTTTAAGTTTTAGCATCCCGTATGTTATTAAATGTTTTTGGCATAAGGCTGTAAATCAGTCGAGAGAGGTATTGTTCTTTTCGAGTTAAGTTATACTAATTTCGCAGATCATAAAATGGAATGTCCAGTTGAGAAAAATGAGCATTTGCGACACCCTCTTCTTTTTGCTTTTAATCATGGTTCTGCCACAAAAACCGCTTGCGACCATGTTAGAAGGCCGATACGTTTGTAATGGTCTCAGGAACAAATACAATTAGCAGGCAACCCATTAAACCAGAAACATTTTTCGTGTGTAGCTGGTGACGAAAAGGTCAATAGCAGAAAATGATGTAGATGAATTCAGTGAAACAGTAGTCTCGGATGATTCACTAAGACCGATTCTAACCGAAGGGAGTGGCACGTTCACAAGAGAGAGAAAAGATTGTGGACATTACCCGACTAGAGCGGCGTTTTTCGGCAGCAACATCCACGTCAACCTGGTTGACATCATTCTTGTCGCCCAATTTCGCCTCCTCACCAACAGACGGCGGTGATTTGGAAGGACACTCGGTAACCAGAACGGCACACTTGTTATCTACTGGACGCTGCTCGGTCTGATCAACTGGTGTCTCAGCAGCCAGATCGAGATGTCCTGCTTCCGTGGAAAGTGAAGTAGATGGAGTTGTCAACGGGAAACCGTCACTTTCGGTATTCGGCTCCTCCCTCCCGATTGAGGAGGGAGAGTCGGGTGGGAGCAAAGTCAAGAGGTTCAGAATTGAAGGGAAGGCCTGAAGTGAAATAGACAGGGCAAGGAATAAACTATGCATGTCAGGCAGAGAATATCTGGAACAGATGTAGTAGTGAGAACAAAAAAGTGTCATCGCCAAACGGCCGAGCAGCTATGAAGAATGAATAGCGTTAGATTACTTCCTTGACAACAAGAATGGTTCGACGATAAATGTGAATGCTATGCGTAACCTCAATGCGATTAAGGTGAAAGTTGCAAAAAAGTACACAAATAATGCCGCATAACAAGTAAAATAACTCTGAGTGCCAGAAAACTGCGGATCTCCGTTTTACACATAATCGCGAAGATGCAGTAAGCGATTCTTACGGACAAATAGCCTGTGACAATGGAACCTCGCTTGAACCACTGCTACATGTGATTTATTGATTGGTCTGATAAATATGTGAGATTCGATTTGGTTCATCGCAACTAGATTCCAAGCCGCACAGATAAGCTACCAATCCGGAAAAGCACCAGACGCGCGTTTCGCCCTAGTCGGGCTCGTCAGTGATGCGCATCCCTCGAAACAGGTGAGAGTTGCATGGGAGTGCGGGAGATCTCACTAGCGCTAAACGAAAAATACCGGACAGATCATTGGAAAGTGGCTAGTACTCTGCACGAGGTGTTGACGACAGCAAAGAACCCGCCGTCAGATGCCCAGTGAACAAGAGGGGTGGTGTGAATGAATAAGATACACGGTGGCAAGCGAAATGTAAAACCGTCTGCAATGGGATCATATCCTGAACTGGTGGTTAGGTTTTGTTGTCCGTTTGTATATTAGATGGTCTGGTCGAAATCGACGTAAACCCCGACTGGTTACAGGGATTGCATTTTGAATAAGGCGAGCGGGTCGCACAACCTAAAGCCAGATCTGGTCATAAAACCAAAGGTCTGTATGATGATAACAATACCCAAGACTTAGTGAAAACAAAAGTGGCATGATGACTGCTCATGAATGCAAAATTCCGCATTAACGAAGATAAAAGAGAAGTCACTGAAAAATACGATGCACTCTAGACGTTCGGACGTGCGCCTGGAAGTGTGTGAAAACGAAACACAAAAGTAGAACAGAAACCGAACGCCAGTTGTTCGATACTTGCCAAAGATGGAGACACATTTGCCACAACCTACGTACACTCATATTTTGTTTTGCTGCCTCGTTCTCTTTCAACATTAAGCCGTACGCTCTTGGTATCAAGGCAACACAACAACAAATTGTGATTCCACTCAGAGTAGGTCGGTTCCTAGGAATTCTACTAAAATCACTGGTGTTTTTGGATAACTTCACCGATGAGCAATAATTGCACGAGCGTAGCGACGGGTACAGCACACCTGACCACAATTGCAACGCTAGCTAACAAGATACATGTGCTAACCTGCCAACCGTTTACAACGTAGTCATCAATACACGTTAGCTAAAGGGGAGAAACACCTCAGCCGCAAGAAAAAAAAGTATGGAAAAAGCGTGGTATTAAGCGCTAGACAAGAAAAATAAGCCAAAAAACAAGTAATATAATATTACGCAGGGATATTCGAACTAACAAGCCTCTTTATGTCTATCGATCTGATGGGCCAGGTTTCATAACCGTCCGCCGGACGGCTGCATTGTAAGCTCTGCCGTTCAGGGCGAGAGAGATGTCGCACCAGCGCCACATGAGGTGGGGATTGGCAAAAGCACCTCAAGCTTTCGCTATACGATTCGTGACCTCGTCTTCGATCCCAAGGGCGCTAATATTGTTGCTAAGATTATTGAATTTTTGAACGACTTCCAGCAGATCAACACCAAGGGTCAGAGCATGGGTTAGGTCCCTGCCAATCTTGGATGAGGACTTTGCACTCCGAGGATGCAAAGCGTAGCCTAAAACGACTGACAGTCAGTGCTCATCCGTTCAGTGGTGCTTAGCACGTTTGGGAGTTGTCACAGATAAGAGCAGTGTCGTCAGCATACTCCAAGTCAAGAAGTCGTTCAGCATGAAGCAGACCCACATCTTTTAAGTCGTGTCCAACGAACGCTGTTTTCATGACTTCGTCAATAGCAAAGTTAAATAGGGTAGGTGACAGCGGGCAACCTTGTCTCACACCGCTGATATTGAAGGGCGGTGACAATTTGACATAAACCTTCAATCTGCTCGAACTGTGCGCGTACATCGCCCTGGAAACGTTTACGTATTAATCGGATCCACAATTCCCGAGCAGACAGTCCAAAACAGCACATCGATGCACTGAGCCCTTTTGATGTCGAAGAACACGACAACGGTGGTGGTGTTTCAAAAACTGAAGTAAAGGAAAGATGTGGGCAGTACAACCCTGGCTTTGGCGAAAACCGGCTTGCTCTTCACGAGTGTCATTCGGTCTATGGAGACAGACCGGAGCAAGCGATTTAGAAGTAAATGAAATCAGGCTGATACCTTTATGACTGCCGCATTCTGAAGATGAGCCTCACTTGGAAATTGAAACAGTAACGGGGCAGCTCCAGTCTGTTGGGACAGACTACCATTTCCTCAGCTTCAGTAGTAAGTTGTGTAAACCACCCATTAGAGCAAATTCCTCAAATTTGAAGACGGATGGAGGAAGTCTATCTGCTCTTGTGGCCCTGTTCAACTACAACACCGACTTGGCGTTAAAATTATGCGGCTGAGGGTGGCTCTAAGAAGATGGCCCAGAGAGAAGGGTGATAACTAGCCAGTAGTAAGTCAAGTAGTTCCGAGTGATTAAATGATTGCAGCTCAACGTTCTAAGCATTCTGACAAGGTGTGGATATGTTGGCCAATCACGTTATAGTTTCGACAATAATAGGTCTTCTGCTACCCGTTGCGTTGGTTACTCAGAGCAAGACAATCTTTATCCTCGATGCACAATGAGACAATCAAGTTTTGCGGTTTCTCTTCAGGCTAGCACGCAGTTTCGCTCTGAAATCTTTGCGAGTCTCATCGTGTTCGTTCTCAACCGGAAGGCGTCAGCGAGCACTCGAGAAGTTCCGGCTACTGCATAGAGACCCAATGGCCAGGTTGGCAGGTTGATTTGCCACATGAAGACATATCTGCTGCCAATAACTTTTGGTGAGTATACGACCAATGGCCCATTATTGTTTGCTGAGCGCCTGCTCAACCCGCATACTAATGCAGTTTGATACGCATTCAGAATACATGGCTTCGTCAGTTGGTTGGTGTCTATGTGCTCACAGCGCCGTTGCAGACGTCCGCCGAAACGCACCCGCAATTGGGTACATGCAATTGCATCGTCGGAATCCAAACTTGTCCTCCAGTGCAAGTGACCGTTTTAGGCACAGTCTCTTCAACGATAGCTAATCGCGACGTGGTCGATTTGCGTCCATGGTTAGTAGGCGCCATGTCACTCGGCAGCAAGAGCTGCGTCGAAAGTTAGTGCTCGGGAGAAACAGACGATCATTTCACACAGATGTAGCAACCGCTCAACGTTTTCGTTACGGGAGTCTACACCGCGTTGGCCGAAAGAGATGAACCTCATCAGTGGACAGATTTCCAACAAGAGCGTTAAGATCAACCTTCAATAATACAATATCTGTACTTTCGTTGTGACGAAGGGGCTCTTTCAGTTGGTGAAAGAAGACATTCTTCATCGAGTACGCAGCAATGACAAACAGACATCGTTTGGCCGCGCTTTGAATGAGCCGGCCAATCTGACGGTGCACATCCGGGTGTTGACTGGGATCCAATCGACCAGGACAGTTTCAGCCAGGAGGCTTAAAACAATGCCCACACGGGCTTGAACAGCATTTGAAGCTACGTCATCTCCACGCAAACGCAATGAGAAAGTGCCGACAGCGTCGCAAATGGAAGGTCGAAGGGTAAGCACGGAGCTCGAATCTTGCAGGCGGGTTAATGGTAAAAACCAGGAATAAATCAATAGGGTCTCTGATGTTCGGGCAAGTGCAACCAGTTGGCCAACCTGTAGGAAAGTGCGCATGTCAAGGCATGCCAGTCTTAGAGAGGATGGGGGCCTCCGAATAAGAACAGGTGGACTAATTTTGTCCGTGTGGATAAACATGGGCTTGCTGATTGCACTGAAGTGACGCCTTACGATTGCGTGTGAGTGGAAAGTGGAAGACAAACATTTACTGAAGAAAAATGGGAGAGAGCCAAGAATTAAGAAATTGGAAACAAGGGAGAGAAAAGTGAAGTTGGAACGTGACAAGAAGGCTGAAAAAGCGCAATTCGAGGAATAAGAATACAAGAAGACCATCCACCCTGCCGATGCAGTAGACAGGGCGCCGCTGAAGACTGAGAACTAACTATGTTAACTCATCAATCAAGATAAAATGCCATATGAAAATCGTAAGATAAGATCAGTCAGAAACATTCCGAAGGTTCAATTTGGCGGTCCGTAGTAAAGGCAATGTCGTGGAGAGGATTCGAGCTTTGAGTGTGGAAGTGGTGGAATAAAACATATTCAGCGTGTAAAAAACAGTCACGTAGGGAAACAGAACAGAAAAAGCATGAACAGATGTAAATAGACCGTGTGAATGAAGAAGCACCCTACAGGAATGATGCTATTGTGTCCTGCTAAATAGTAGGGGGACCAAATACAACCGTAGATACTAAGGGGTATGTATAATATTATGCAGTGTGTGTGAACAGCGAAGCGTAGACTAGGAAGGCTTTATCACGCTTGCCGTAAACGTGACCCCAACGTCTGATTCAGTTCGGAACTTAGGAATTAGGGACTCCAACTCTTACAATTTCTCCGAAGATGTGGTTTATCAGGTTGCGAAAGCAATGCAGTTATGCGGATAAATCACCAAAACTTTCTCGCTACCTGAAGCACGACTTGAGTCATTCAATACAATAGTACGACCGACTCTAAAATACTGTACTATCGTTCACATACAATTGAGAAAGAAAGACAGAACGGCTCTGGAAAATGTCCAACGATCATTTACCAAGCTTGTCATGGGGTGATGCACAAACTTGAGTTATTATGATCGGTGCCGAAAACTCCAACTGGATCCTCTTTGGCTGA